CTGTAAGCAACGATAAACTATTGTAACAAAACCAATTCTAAGGGAAGTTTGTTTATAAAAGTTTTGAAATGCCGTAATTTTTAAGATTTTCGTCAAAATTTTAACTTGAACGGTTATAAAAAAAACTTCTGCATAACCCCCCCCCCTTTTTTTTTATTTGACTACTAAGTATATTTTTTAACCAACCGAATGTTATATTTTCAAGGATTTCTCCAAAGTCAAAAAATGGTATCTATAAAATACCTAAAAAAAAAATTACTTGAAAATATCAAATGCCTATAAATAGCTCGGAAACTCCCAAAATATCAAAAAAGTCTAATTTTAGTGTTCTGTGAAATTTTCAGGTCACTACGGTTGATTTGTATGGCTGTAATATTTACTATTTTCTTCAATATTTGATCTTGAAATAATTATAAAAAAAAATGACTACATTATATTCTCATTTTTTTTTTTTTTACCGCTATTTATAACTTATAATGAATCTCCTGTTATGAAATGCATTTCTGGATACTACATAAGAACCATGTAAACATTAAATGCCTATTAATAGCTCAAAAATCACCAAATCTTTTGAAAACTAAAAAGTCTAGAAAAGGAAAATTTAGGTTTTTAGTTAGGATATCAAGTTTCTACAAATATTTTAAACTGAATTACAAAAAAAAAAAATTATCAAAACATCATTTCCGTTAACTTTCTTGTTGAGTCTACGTTTTGTGTTTCTGGTATGCTCTTAATTATTAACAAAAACTACAAAGGAAATCAAAAAAACTTTTTTACACATCAAAAGGCCCCTTTTTGTTTTTCTGTAAAAATATTTCTGGTAGAAAACATAAAGCGTAAACATTTAAAATAACGAAAATGTAATGCTTTAAATGTATCAGTTTTCATTTTTTGTCTTTTCCTGTTTATTATGAAAATTAATATTTGGAAAACCAACAAATAATTTAATTCCAAACTAATTAGATCGACCAATTTACAAAGAATGTGTCTTAGAGTTTTTTTTTCTGATAGAATAAATATGTTTCGGTAGAAAACAATTCGCAAAAATTAAAAATAATAATGAAAACGTATGCAGTAAATTAGTTCGTTTTTTTTTTTTTTTTTGATTTTCCCAATTATTAAAATAACTGCTTAAATAATGATCTGTAAAATAAATCTGTAAGAAGTTAGTAAATTATTCTATACTTACATTCTAATGTATTTATGGTTGGGGGAGGGTAGGTCACACTTTTCTACCAAGAATTTTGCTCTGATTTTGAATTGTTGCACTTTTTCTGGAAGGAAATCTGACTAGGGTGGTACTTTAAGGATGCCATTTTTCGATTTCCCAGGAATTTTCTTAATAAATGGAAAAAAATCCAGTAAATTTACGAAATTAATTATTTTCAAATCATAAATATTACGGTATTTTAAAATATATTGTGTAACCAAACTCCGCTTGGACTCGATTTTCGGGCGGTATTCGTTTGCGCATCACTATTGTTAATTTTGAAATTTTGTGTAAGACAGTCATCTTTCTCAGTATCTTTCGATTTGTGTATTATACATCGTTTGAGCATCAATATTATTTAACAATAAAAATTAAAAAATGTGTATTTACCCAAATACTTAAGTTGTTTTCTAAGCTTAAAATTCACACATCTCTAAATTTATCATTCAGTTTTCAAATATTGTGTAGGTATTTCTGTTTTAAAATATATATTATGTACCATAATAATATTGTGTAGATAATCCAGTTTTCATTTTGTAAAAATAATGGGACATTACAATATACCAAGTATTGCTTTGTAAAATTATTTTTAGTGCTTAATTTATTTGTGTATTTATTTATTAACATATCATCAATTAATTTTTACTCAAAATATAATGTGTATTTATTTTGTATTTTAACTACGACTATAATGCGCCTAATTTAAATGAACACAATTTATTTTTAATTCATTTTTACTCAAATAATCAAGTTTATATTAGATTAAGTAAATCTTAAATTTTTAACTACAGAATAATTATACACAAAATTTGGATATTTTCATGAATTTTGTCAAAGTGTGAACTTTAAATGTTTATTTAACAAAAACTTGTGTCTGTATGGTATTTTATACACTTATTGTTCGGTATGTTGATACGCATATGATGTACGATGATTTGGTGCAGGTAAACAGACAATGTGCAAACGATGTAAAATATTTTGGCATAGACAAAGCGCACGACGACGGCCCGTTTTTTGTTAGCAATGATTTATCATTGTTTATTGAAATACAATAAATTTTCCTTCTACCTTTCCAACATTTCCGGATTGTATGTCCGTTTTTTTAATATCCAATATTGCTCGCCTAGAAAAAAAAAATATGATGGGTAAGAATTTTTTTTTTATATATATATGTATACAATAACTTTTTAACAAAAATATATACTAATTAATTATGTCAATTTAAAATATAACTACGGTTGAAAATAAAAAATTACAAAAGCATATTTTTGGGAATTATTGTAAATATTATTATGAATTAATTATGTTAACATTGAAAGAATATGTGTTCTAATAATTTATTGAACAGAATATTATTGTCATCTACTGGTTGCTAGTTCTCTGTAGAGTTTCTTTTTTGGTAATTAATAGTTGTATATATATTGGATTGTAACGTAAATGACCACTATTAAAATAATATTACATTTCTTAAATTAACGATTGCTAACATCACAAATAATAACTTATAAATTGTTTTTATTAATTATTAATGTATGCATGTGACTACGTGAGCACAATGTACAAAGTATGTTGAAGAATATCATTATTGTATAGTGTGAGTATAACTGCAGTGATAAAAATAATAATATGTCTACATAAACGTTAATAATAATCGAAAGAAAGGTCTTCGTTAAAATTCCTTTCGCCCAAAAAAATGTTCTTCCAGTTTTCTCCCATTTATATGATAAAGTAATTTATTCCTTCTGCTCATGGATTTACGTTCAACATTTCGGAAACCGTGTATCAACTTTTTTTTTACTTACTATTTTCTTATTATTACCTAAGATTTTTTGGCTATTTATTTATTATACTCTCTAAAGTATAATTATTGTGAGCTGAATAAACAAAAAAAGAAAAATAGTACCAATATGCATTTGTGTAGAAAGTATCATCTTTAACGTATACAAGTAATAAGTCATGTTATGTAATGTTAATATAATATCACCTATTTTAACGAACACAAAACATAAACTTTTTGTATAGTAATAAAAGCTGCCACCTTGTGAAACTCTCTGCGTGATGTACTGGTGTTAAATAACTTTATTAAACTATTTTACATAAATAGTAAAATTAAAATCAAAAAAATACTTGTGCAGTAACAATAAATTAATAAACATATATCGAACGTAAAAACATGATTCCTGAATGTTAAATGTGAAAGGTGGGTAATAATATTATTGGTAAAAATAGTAAACTACTACGAGCATTTATCATGTTTAGAAGAAAAGAGGACGTAGGCGAAAAGTGAAACTCCGTTTTTGGACGAAAGAAATACTACCTGTCGAAAGAATTAAGGTCCGATAAAGGAAGCGCATAATAAGACATTGTCACATTTTAGTGTAAAACGATTTTATGATTATTAAATGGTAATTCTATATAATAGGACGTTATATTCACATCTACTATCTCAGTCCAACTACCGGATAACATGCATAAACAATGCTTACGCAAAATAAGTAAAACTAGCTTAATTTTGATTTTAGAGCAAAAGTACTTATTGTGAAATATACACGGAGGAAATGTCATAGATTTTTGTATTATTCAAAATATACAGTTCAATATAAATGATACAAAAATCTTTATTTGTTTGTTTTTTTAAATAACTATAACCTTTTAGTTCATAATTCAACAAACACCGATGACATTCACTCTAAAATATTGTTCTCTATAAACTTCATAATAGGTACTTTTACTCTAAAATCAAAATTAAGCTAGTTTTACTTATTTTATGTAAGCATTGTTTTTGTATATTGATCGGTAGTTGGATTGAGACAGTAGATGCTGGTATAACGCCCTCTTAACGAAACATATTCAGAACGTATCGTATTGTATATTATATTATGCGTTTTGCTTGGTTCGGTATTGCTGGAATAGAACGATTACTGGACAAAGTGAACCTTAAATCATATAAATTTGTGCATGAACAATGGCCGGACACTGTAGTTGTTCGAGTTCGTTGACCGTAGCATTAAAGTATTCCGTTTTTAATTTAATATTATTGTTGACTCTTATAAATCGCTAGAAATTCGTTAGGAATTAGAACTCGCAATATTTTTTATTTCGATGTACGATTATTAATTGTATATCGTTTTGTACACGTACTTATACGATTTTATCAACTAACTCTATAAATCGTGTCGAGATTATCTTAAAATCTCAAGGTTCTTATTGAGTTTAGTTCGGTATATTTCGGTCATTGGCTTTTTAGGAAAGTACGTTTACTGCAGTTAGTAGATTATTAGTACAACTTATGATCAACTTGATGTTCAATTATTGTGCATTTTTGCTGGGCCAAACAAATTTCATGCACATAAAATCAAATAAAAATCATAAACCTTTACAATTTAAAATGGCCTCAGCAATATCTAAAAATGACCCAATTTTTTCAAGAAACTTTTGTTTCATCATCGTTAAAAGTGATATTAAATATAGCTAGTCCTAAGTCTGTACAAATGAAAAGAATAATTGTTTGTATTGTTTGTAAACGTTTCGAACCCAACTAAAGTATATATTACCTGTAGAAAGACGGAACCCAACTAGTTTAATACCCAAAATTCATTGAGACCTAAATGTAGTGAATTACCTGTCAAAATTACTAGGGTCTGAGACCCAACTCAAATGCAATCATATACATATATAATATGCCGTACAATGTATATATAGTAGATACCTATTATAACTACTCTAACATTTTGTTCTAATTAAAATTACGATCGTTGTTCGTGCAAACCGGCCAAGGGCAACGAATGCGATGGCGGTCACCTCGAAATTGGTCGGTTTGTGTACATATATATTATTGTTATAATATGCGGCCGACTTAAATAATATTAATTGATTGACATCGAATTTTAGGTATAGGTACATCACATCGACCGTTGTAAAATCCCTTTTCGTGGAACTTCCACGAATAACTTTATGTATGCGTGACGTCCGATGACGACGAGAACAGGAATTTCGTGGTGTATAGGACTTCTAGTTTCTATACTCGTTATTTTATTTATAGATAATATAATATCATAAAAAAAGACGTGTTTTTTTTTCGGTACCTATATAAAATCGTGAAAATGAATTATAGTGTACTATTGAAGGCAATGACTCGATAATGGAGTCAGACACGTGACCTTAGAGTAAAAACGTTATATTATCTTCGTTATTGTTACGTCTATTTTTTTTCTTTTACACATTTCATATAGTAAATTTGTTTGTCATATTTTGATCTTGGGATATTGTGGTTTCTATATATTTAAATTTTAAGTGCAAATTTAACGAAACAGATAAATTAGGTAGCGATTTAAAATTATACAGTCATTATTTACTATTTCATAATATAAATTATAGTCATATTATATTTAATTCAATAATCATAAATGTTTAGAATAATTTTAATCTAATAAAAAAAATGTATGGTATAATACTTATGACACGTAGTAATATGGAAAAGTACTGTTTTTAATACTATCAAGTGTGATAACATTAAATCATATATAATATATTAATATACAATAATATTAGTTTTCAAAGTGAAAAAGTTTTGTAAACAGAATTTAGGCTCGAACAGTATTTTCTTTCTTAGTTTACTACACAGACTTATTAAAATAAAGTCAATAATACATTTAAGTCACTACCAGACTAAAATTGTACATATAACTACTTTTAAATTTTTGAATACATGACGCGTGTACGGGTGCCTAAATTCGTGCAGGCCAACTGCACTTTTTACCCAAAAATTTGGGTCTTGTAAGAATGAGAATCGCTAAGCACTTACATATGTAATAATTATGTGACTCGAGATTAAAATTTACCAAATTATCAATTAGTTTCATTTGAGTATACCACCGTTTTAATGTGTACATATTTCCATTTAAAGGTAATACATAATGATAATAATAATTATGTTCATAATAGAACTGTTTATGAAGTCGAAAAAAAAAACAATCACACAGGTGGTAACGACCTATTATAATATTATACGAATTATTAATAAAACTATCACGTTGACGATCTGAGTAGGTTATACTCAGTAATTATTATCGTGGTGCCATTGAATATACAATTATTACACACAAATAAATATTTATATACATATATATATATATATATATATATATATTATATTTTACTAACGAGAAAAAGTCTTATTGCTACTTATATAGATTATTTGATAATAATTCGTGTACGCTGTTGTATTACTGTACGTAACAGAAAATTCATGATAATGATTCAATAGCGGAGTACAATTATATAGTAGTAGGTAGTGACATAGTCATGATTTTGAATTGAAGAGGTGGGCTATTACGTTTTGATTGAGACAATATGGGCGAAGAAACTATCATTACTTTTGTAATACGCTTTTACTGCGAACGCACGCTGTTCACTCGACCAATGTTTCATGTTTACCAAATTCCTGGTATTTAAAAGCAATAAGAACAGTCTAAAAGTCTCTACCACTAGCCATGCCCATCAGTTCTTGATAAAATTGTTGGGTTTGACTGCCGCACCCTGGAAATTAAAATTATTGTAATTTAGTAAATTTTAACATAATAAACTAACAAATTTAAATTATCCGCAAAGCCCATTGAAGTATACAAACTCACTAGATTCATAAATTAAATTTACTATGTTTTATTAAATTTGTAAGTTTTATGTATGTTAATGAATTTCATCTGATACTAATTCATAAATTAACATATTATTCATAAATGTGGATTTAAAATAGATAAAACTGATTTAATAGGTTTTAATATTTACATTTGTTTTTTAGTACAAGAAAGCTATTAATTTTACGAAAAATAATTATATATTATTTATAATATAATATTTTTTTAAACTGGAAAACATTTTATGGACAGTAAAATTACTAAAACGTACTAAAACTAAAACCACTTCATAGATCCGTAAAAATATAAACTAAATATTTTCTCTGCATGAGTTATAATTTTTTTTCGCAATGGTGCACTAAAAGATAACCCCTTATTTGCATTATTTCGAAAAGTATTAATATTTTTCCAAATTTTTCTTTTTGGAAATTTAAAATTTAAAATATAAATGGTTGATTATGAACATTAATACAATTCATGTAATTTTAAATTTTTCATAGATTTTTTTGTATGCCGTTAAAACGTTAAAACTATAAGCTTTTTTCAAACATAGTAACACAAAGTAATTTGTATATTTTCATTCGAAAATGTATATTAAAATAAAATCTATTTTTTTAATAATTTTTTTTTTGCCGTTTACCTTGTGTTGTCATTTTTAGGACTTTATAATATGATACAATTATGTTATAAATAATAATATTATAGGGCCCGCAGTATACTAATTTCTTGTTTTTGATTATTTTAAAATTTGTTCGCTTTTTATTGCTCTTCCTTTGCCATACTACCGCTTAACGACAGTGTAACCTAATAAACAACTATTCAATTTTTGTTCTTTTTTAATTTATTTAGACGATGATTTTTCAACATTTGCTACGCCGTTAATGGCTATGCACGTGCTGTTCGTTGCGATCGTTGGCGTGGTAGCAAATCTATGCGTGTTCCTCGCTTTGTCAATGGGCCACAAGGTGTCCAACAACCTGTTGCTATTAAACTTGTGCGTCGCCGACTGTATGGTGTGCATAATCAGCGGACCGTTGACGATACTGTCTTGGGAATGGCCAGTATTATCCTCGTATACCATCATTAACGCGTTGCAGGTAATTTTTTTTTAAGTTACAGTTTAAGAACTTATTAAGTGTGTGGCAATCAATGTAGTAGTCGGGTTGCGACTATATAATTAATTTTAAGTAGTGATTTAAGTCACACGCTGTGTATAAAATGATGTATTTTGTATGATTGTACATTTTGAATCACTGTTTATTATTATACCTGAGGGAATTGTTATTTTTTTTTTCTGAAACCGATAGTATTAGTTTTCATAACAAGATATTATACAAAACCATTACAGATACTATTATCCAAGTGCCAACAAACTATTTATAATATTACGTAGTAAAATATTATTTATTGTTCAGCGATAAAATAAATATATTTAATGCAACAGTCTCCCATGTAATTATTATATATAAATGTTTTCGGAAGCGACATAATTGTGGTCGCAGGGATATTTTGCGCGAGTTCATTCAGCGACAAATCGATGGTAATTATATTATAAAACAATAGATTTAGTCATTATCACTAAATTGCAATTGATTTGTATGATAATATAAGTTATTTATTATCGATTGAACTCGTAAGGCAAAATAACTGTATTACTTCAGGGTCCTACTCGTGGGATTTTTTTTTACAACTTGTTAATAATCATTGATAAAAGATTATTAATATAATTTATATATAAGTTTTATCAATTCTTAATAAATAATTTAATCAGTATTATATTTTTTATAAAGGCACTTGCGTACCTAACCTGCGTACAACCTGTGTTTTGCTCAAAAGCTAGTTTAGACGAATAACTTTAATTTCTCGTAGTGATCAGATTTAGAATTATTTTTTGTTCTTGGAAAGAGAAGAACTTTCCCCGGGGCACATTCGACGTTGATTTTTGATTATGTGACCAGAAATAATAACAAAAAAAAAAACGTAAAAATTGACCATATTTAAACTTTAATTATAGTATTTAAAGACATAATTTTCAAAATCCCAGTCAAATACGTCCAGTAAAGAAGATTTATTTTCGCGACAAAAAAAAAGAAAAGAAGATCGGAATCTGTTTACCCTAAGAGGTATAAAAGTTTTATCTGATCGAGCGCAGGCCACTTTAGTGTATATCAAACAATTTTATAATATCATGCTTATTCAAGGTTTCTATCTCGTATAATTATAACAATGCGCTACTGCAGCTATATTAACAAAATGTTTAAGAATTATTCGTTGAAAACATTTTGTGAATACATATTTATTCTATATATATATATTATATTATTGCTTACGTTCGTTTTATTTTACTGTTACTATTACCCGTTCGTATAATACTGTAGTATATTATACTGTTGCAGCTGCAGTATTATATTATGGTTTATGGTCACATCCTCGTCGCTGTTTCCCCGTCGGACATATCTCCGTCGCCGTTTCCCCATCCGATTAATTTCCCCGTTTTTTTATTTTTATTTTTGTTTTTAGTTTGTAGATAAATTATATTACATTATTAATTTAGACAATTACTTGGAATACAGTGCTGTATGCTACAGGTCTATATCATAATATTATACATTTTAGCGACTTACCGATTCAAATATTTACTAGGACTAAAAAAAATCAGGATTAAAAAGTTATAAAGTTTTTGTCGAAGATGACTATATTTGTATACCAATCGAGTACGCATTGTAGTATTGTTGAAATATTATTATCACTGTTCTCAAACGAGTTCGTCCATGTGAAAATGTGGACCCATACGAAAGTTGTTTTAGAAATTGTGTAGGTAATGAAAACAATATCACGAAAAACATACACATTTTAATATGAAAAAAAAAACAAAAAGGAAAATACTTTTTAATATCTTGTGGGCAAACAAATCCGTCTATACGATTCTACGATCGTCGTAGAATATCAAAGACCGTTAATTCGAGTTTTTCCGGACTTACATGTACATAAATGAATTACACGCGTATGCCCTTTTTAAAGAAACAAAAATAAGATATAAACAACCACTACCTATATTATACTAATATTACTTTTAGAGCAGGATGGCTAGATTAGAAGAAAAATATTCTAATACCGGACAAAAATAGGCAGTGAACAATACTTCATTGTTTTGTACTATGTTGTATTGGTAATTTTTTTTTTTTTTTTTTTATAATACGTACAATTTTATTTGAAAAAAATTAAAAGTTATTTTAATAAATGAGAATCATTAGAAGGAGGAGATTTTTAAAACTCTCTATTGTTATTGATTGTTTCAAATATTATTTAAGTGATGATTATAAGTGAATATAAATCCGTTCTCTAGTTATGAGTGTTAAGGATACGAGATTATCAGATTATAAATAAGTTTTATTATATATAAATTAAAGAAACATTGTAAGTCGGAAATTTGAGCATCTTACACAGTTATTGTTTCTTTTGAATAAAATTGTTTAACGAATATTCGGTTTATTAAGCAAAAAAATCATGAAACTCTGTAAAAGTTTTTGAGGAAAAGTGATTAAAAATAACTACTATATGTTATATAGTTTTCAAGGCTCACACTATTATGAACGTTGATTCGACTTTTTTTGTATGCCCGTGGATAGTTGGTAATTTAATCGGTCGAAAAAAAAATATGAAATTACTCTTGTTTACGACCACGAAACTTAAACGAACTAGAAGGAAGCATCGTAAACCATCCAGGTCATCGTAATATAAATCGTATAAATGTCTGGAAATGTTTAATATATATATACATATATATTATAAAGGATGTTTATTAGACCTTTAGTTCTGTTATATTCTTATATAGGCAGGTGATATGTGATAATAGTGCATATAAATAATAAACATATACGTTATAGTAAACCACGTAAAATACAAAACGTCTAACATACCTATAAAAGGTCTCTGTTCGTTGGATTTTCTATTCGTTTTTCATCGCCTTAAGTTGGTACCGATAATATATAGTTTACGAGTGTACTGCTATATATTTTCAGCCTGTAACTCATATTCTCCGCGAATACTATTCTGCGTTACTCTTTATAACTGGTTGGTCGGAAAATTTGTAACGACATTCGTTATACTTTTAGAATAAAAGGTCCATTTTATACGATCGCCATATACCATATAATATAGTGCGTATTTTTTTTTAGCCCGTTAAAAGACGAATTATTTTTAAAACGGTTTAAAAAAAAAAAAAAAAAATACATTCGAGAAGTTTTTAAGCCGTCAGATGGTGGCGCATAACAAATAGTCGTTTTAATAATTTGATTTACGGTCCTTCGATATATTATATCAATCGTTTATTTTTTTTTAGAACTTTGCTGCGCTTCAGTATAATGAGATTGAATTATATTCAAAAATATTTTCTATTTCTCCGTCGAGATCACACGTGTGTGTCGCGGTGCAAGTTGGGCAGTTGTCTACTTTGTTTTGAACATTTTGAGTGTAGCATAGAAACTATTATAGTTTTACTAAGATGAATTGTTTTTCTCACAAAACATTTTTCGGTTAATAAAAATGCTCTGTGGTTTTATTTTTACATAGTGTACTTTAAAAGATACGGATTTTTGCCCGGTAGTATTTTATTATTTGAAAAGATTTTCTGGAATTAGGACGGCTATTTTTTAAAATTATATATAGTTAAATTGAACCGATAAAAAAAGACGGTTCATCTGTTTTATATTTGTTGATTTCTAGGTTATCTATTATGAATGAAAAATACGACCAATATACTTTATTACTTATATTATATAATTTAATCGGTTTCTGGAGCTCCGCTTAGAACAGTCTTTTGATTGCAATGATTTATACATTTTTTTAGTAAATTAACTCTACATCTCTACAGCTTGACATTGCCCTACACCCTATATTATACTTTCTTAACTTCTCATCTACAACAGTAGTGACTTATGGCTATGGTACAAACTCCGGCTTTTTATGTGTGTTCGGTTGAAACAATAATAGTGTATGGTATACACGAGATGTGTTAATAAAGTTATGAGATTAATTTTTTAAAATATTTTTATTGAATTAAAATTACTCTTTTACATTATCTCCTTACGAAGTAATTGCCCTAGGAATCCACACAGCGCTGGAGTCGATGTTTTCATTGTTCGTAGTAGTTTTGGAACTCAAGTATTGGAATAGCTTTCAGTTGGTCAGTCACAGATATTATAATATTTTTTAATGTCTCAAAATGTTGTCATTTAAGATGAATTTTTAATCTTGGAAAGAGAAAAAAGTCACAAGGGCTCAAGTCGGGTGAATAAGGGGGTTGAGGGGCCTCGGGAATATTTTTTTTACGCAGATTTTTCTCATCTCCAAATCAATAGTCAAAATTTGATCAACGGTGGTGTGAGTTAATCCCAACTGTTCTCCAATCATTCTGGCCATCAACCGACGATCGGATCGGACAAGATCTCGAACTCTGTTGATGTTTTCATCATTTTTTGCAGTTGAAGGTCTTCTACTGCGAGATTTATCTTCAATCAACTCTCTGCCTTCTGGAAATGCCTTAAACCACCCGAAAACCTGGACCCTTAAAAGCACGCTTTCTCAATATGCTTGTTGAAGCTTTTGAAAAGTTTTTGTCACACTGTGCCCAAGTTTAAAACAAAATCGGATAGCACATTGTTGCTCGGATTTCTTGTCACTCATTATTATAACGTACTAAAAAAAAACCGGTATAATCGCCATAGACAAACACGTGACACTACGGAATTCAAAGTCGTATTGAAGGCACATTACATATTTATCTACAAAACTTTCCAAACGGAAAGCCATTAGTGCTGCCAGTCACCAAGCTACGTTATCAGTCTCATTACTTTATTTACACACCTCGCAATAGACATGACAATGATTATTTTTTTTTCTGCAGAATGGTACTCAATTATTATATACATATTAACGTAGGTATTCTATGCTGCAATATATTTTGGTGTAAATCATGATATACGAAGAACGTGCATATAATATTCAAAGTCGTCGATGTAGTTTATCTTTATACGTTTACCGTTTTAGAACTTTTGCATAAATCCTTGTTGAAATTAATAGTAATATAATTCTAAGGGATTATAAACCTGTAATATAAAATATTAATGCACATTACGAAACACACGTATTCTACAAGTACAAAGCAAATAATGTTATTTTAGTATTTTACCAATACAAATATTGGTTTTGCAAGTATTTTAAAAATTTAATCAATATAATTATAATTTATATTACATTATTACGTTTATAGTACCTAGCCAGTTGTGTGTGGGCTTTATATTTTAATAATACTAAAATATAATAGGTAGGTATTATCATATTACTGATTTTTTTAAAATTAAATGGAGTTACGATAAAAAATATTATTTAAATTAAAAATACACCATCATTTTTTAATTTGTTATATTGATCAGTTATTCAACGATAAAGTATTTTCAGCATATGAAATTATAATGCATCAGTACTTTTAAATTCCCGATTTATAATATATATAATTTATAAAACATAAGAACGTATCACGCCGATTTGTGTACAAAGATTTTGTTCGCTTTTAATACTATACTCGAGTAAAATATTGACAATTTGACATGATAGAAAATCAAAAAGTTGGAAAATGTTCCTGTCTTATGTCTATTGTGTTAAGCGGTGTAGTACGTTTGGCTAATTTTACCTGTTTGGTATTTAAAATCCACACAACGATAAGCTACATTGGTCATCATGTGTTTCTGAATCTTCTCTCATTACTTACCAATAATGTATAGTACATTCCATAAACTCATATTCTTCCATTAAACTAAGTTTATTACTATCAGTTCTCACTACATTATAGTATAATATATTAAAGTATGACAATAAGAAATATTAAATCATAGAAGAGAAGTAAATGTATTGGTCAAATACTCAAATTAAACTTCTTTACGAATAACCTAAATATGGAAGATAGTATATAATGTCCTACTCAGTTTTTTCATACATAAAAAAAAGACGTCCGCGTATAATGAGAACGGGTGTAGCCACTGTTATAGATAATTGAATGTACACCTGTAAGCAACGATAAACTTACGAAAAAAACGATTCTGGGGGAATTCAGTTGATAATGATGCTTTGTCAACAAAATATATGTCATTCTATAATAAAATAATTAAATAGGCATTATTTATTTTCTTTAATAATTGATTTATGTTGTACCGATTTTCCCAATTTTCCTACGTTTTTCCTGGTTTTCCTATGTTTTATCCCAGTTTTTCACATTTGCTGGGAAAACTCCAGAGAAAATCGAAAAATTACCTCTCTAAAGTACCTCCCTAGTGAAATTTCCTTTTAGAAACATTGATATCATTAAATTGCTTAGTTGGAGCAAAATTGCTGGTAAAAAAGTCGTTCACAGAAAAAAAGAAGGCCATAGTATATTTTAACTAACAGCGGCGGTTTTACCGAGGAGGCAAGAGAGGCAGTGCTTCCTTTGAAAATAAAAAAGTACATTGTTAATATTATTTTAATTGTAAAATATTTTTTATTCATATTTTTTTATATTTTAAATTTATACACTATTATGGAAGGAAAATGAATAAAGTATATGTTTAATTTTTGAATGAAAGGAGTGTATCGTGCCTACTGCTAGATCTCGATCTTTAAACGAGACCGTGCGACGTGCGGTGCCAAAGATAAGTGACTGCCCGTGCGGCGCGGCGTGCGGTGTGCACAGTATGCGAATATAATATTGTTAATATAGCGGCCCCTTCCATGTGTCCCGTAACGACGGCGGCTTCCTAGGAGGCAACCGCCGCCGCTGCCGCCGGTATGTTAAATGTGTACACAAATTTACACAAATTTACACACACAGGCGCATATATAAAATACGAGTACGCGCATGTGCTCTTCTCGGCGAAGACAGTATCTGACCGTCGCTTCCGTCGACTAACATAGTAATATAGCTAAGTGAACGGCTGACCGTTATCACTTAATAAATTATTATCACGATTGTATATCAACAATCTACAATCATGGTTAATGATTATTGAATAAGTCTGTTCTCTGTGTGATGACTGGTATAATATTTTTTTTTTCATTTATAACTACTGTTTATTATTTTTGTTAGTTAAATAATATCCTTTTTATGTTTTTATATGATTATTCAATATAGTCAATTTAGAAACCAAAAGTTATTATTTTTTATTATTTTAATTCTTACATTTATTTATTTGAATTTATTTTTTTATGATAATTTTACATGTGTGAATATTAAATTATGTGTAACTTAAAACTAGAAAGACACTTTATAGATTTATTTGTCTTAGTTCCGGTTTAAATTATAGATATGTATTGTAGGTATATTATATTTTATATACCAGTAAATAGTAGTCTAAAATCGTAACTCACTAGTTACTAAATTATGAGAAACAGTGAAAGGGAAGCAGTTCTGACTAATTTTAAAAGACAAAATATGGGTTTTAAATAAAACGAAGGAGTATTGGGAATTGAATTGAACTGAACTTAATTGAAAATAATGTTTTTTAAATAATTTTATGTATTATTTCAGAAATTTAAAAGTGAGGCATTTTAAAAATGTTTTCGAAACATTTTTTTAATATTCCGACTACGTTTTTTAAAAGATTGCAAACATATTTTTGTTTTTCCTGGGTGTCTAAAATGGTACAAAGTTGTTGCCTTCTAAAAAATTGAATGCTAAAACCGCCACTGTTAACTAATACCTAAATTTCTTATATTTTCCCGTTTTTTTTTCGGTTGTTCAAATTTGATGAGAAAACTCCTGAGAAAATCGAAAAATGACCTTCCTGAAGTATTTCCTCACACTGATTTTCATTCAGAAAAGGTAGTACACTTAGAAATCCGAGTAAATATTTTGATAGAAGAGTTGTTAACGGATAAAAAAAATAAACATCTTTGTAAAACCATAAGCTTCTTCGCTCCACTTAAAATTCAAAAATTGCATCATTTCCTACATAGGCATTTTTATCTTTTTTAGTAACACATATTGCATATAACAACACACTTGTTACACTCTATGAATATGTACGTGTTTTCATACTTTTGGCGATAATATATTTTAAATATTAGTTTTTGTAAATCAAAATTGATAACTGATATTATTTAAAACAAAAAATTATAATACGATTAACATTTTTTTTTTCAAATTTTCCGTTATTAGATTACACGTGATGGATTTTATATTATGCATATGTAAGAGATTGTCCATTATCATAGGAGTTTACCATTCTCTAATATATTGGTGAATTGGTAGAAGATAATATGATTTTGATATTGTTATCTCTTGTCCTAAACCAGTTAGCACTGCTCGCTAACTCATAACTTGTTACATTGTCATCTATGTTATATAGATTCTTATGCATTTAAAATTTACAAATAAAAATGTTCTATTGCTGATTTTCTGCTAAATATAATCGACTATAATATAATAGTACGCGTAAAAGCCTGGAGAAAATAAATCGGCGGAAGAAGTCCTTTTAATAACGAACGTATTAAATTAATACACAGCGATTATAAGCGACAATTTCGTGTGAGCAACAATATTATATTATACTCTTTTTGGTTATGATGTGTTTTAGCGTTTATCGCTGCCGTTGACTTTATTTTGTTAGAGAATGTTTTCATCGGACTTTTATAATATATTGAATTTTCAGTGAGTGCGTAGTTGTTTAAGCTATTATATTGCATTGTCATAAACTTTATATTTTATGGCAAACGTTTCATTATTCGAAAACTGACCAAGAGTATTTTAACATTTTAGGCTAATATATATTATTATTATTATATTTTTGCTTAAATGTACCTAAAGCTAACTATATATTATATTTAAAACAATTAGTGTGGAACAAATCGAATTCTAATAGTTTTATTAGAATACTTTTCGTCTCTCGAAAATCTACATACTATAATATTTTTCATCAAGGCTTGAAAGACTTTTATATTCTTCCATATTCTATCCATCCTCTATTGTTTTAAATATTGTATTAAATTAAATGTTTTCTTACATTTTGTTTACGACTAAGTATGACTTATAATGAATCTTCTGTTCAATTTTCAAGCATTTCTATTTAGTCTAAGAATTTAAAAACTTTATTTTACTTAGAAAATTCAAAAACTATTTTATCTGTGAGCATCTAAGTCCCAAATGAAAAAAACTGTCTATAGGTATTTTTTGACTAAAGCAATATTTCCAGTATAAAACATAGTTTGCAAAAATTAAAAATAATAGAATCGATATTGTCGTAAATGTTTGCCGTTTTAGCAATATTTTTGATTCGGTTTTTTCTAACTATTTTTAAACCCCCTTAGAAAATCATCACATGACCTGTGTAATTCTACAATTTATATAAAATTTCCTTACAGATGAAATGTTACATTTAATATATATTTGATACATCGGAATTAGTTTTTTTTTTAAAAAGTTACAGTTTATAGTTAAGAAAAAAACTCTAATGGTTACTAATGGTAAAACAAATAAATCCTTTGTTCCGCTCTAAATCTAAAAAAATGCGGACATACATCGTACGTGGGTGCAGCTACTGTTGTAGATTAGAAGTTAGGAAGTTAGGAAGGTAGGATATAGGCGGGAATTTAATGTATATCTGTAAACAACGATGTACCATTGTTAACGAAAAACCGATTCTGAGCGCAGTTCAGTTGATAGTGATCCTTTGTCAAAAATATATATTTCATATTATCATAAAATAATTAGTCATTATTTATTTTCTTTAGTAGTATTTGTTTAATATGGTATCGATTTTCCCGTTCTTCGGTTTTCCCCGTTCCTTTTTTTCGTTTTTCCAATATATATAATCAAAAAATGATTTTTCTTATG